AAGTCTCCTCACTCCCCAGCACGCCTGTTCTCCCTCATTCTTGTACTTAAGCCCCATCCATGGTGTAGATAGACCTCTGTCATTCTTGCCTCCTTGGGACTCAACAGAGCTCTCCTCCACGCCGCAGGGTGTAACAGACAGTTGTTGGCCCTTTGTTCTTTCAGGTGGTGAAATACAGACCAAGATCCAAGAGTTGCCTCTAGCTGAGGAGCACCTGGAACAGGAGCCTGGGCAGATACCGTGCCACCTGGGTGAAGCCATTGCCAAGATAGCTACATGTGCAGGGGCCAGTGAACTGGAGGGCAGATTACAAAGAAAGCAGAAGACCACCGCTGGGAGGAGGCGGCACATTTGCCATGAATGTGGAAAGAGCTTTGCTCAGAGCTCAGGCCTGACTAAGCACAGGAGAATCCATACTGGGGAGAAGCCCTATGAGTGTGAAGACTGCGGCAAGTCCTTCATCACGAGCTCAGCCCTTGTTATTCATGAGAGAGTCCACACTGGGGAGAAGCCCTACGCCTGTGAAGAATGTAGCAAGGTCTTCAGTCACAGCTCAGACCTTACTAAGCACCACAGAACACACACTGGGGAGAAGCCCTATGAGTGTGATGACTGTGGGAAGACCTTTAGCCAGAGCTGCAGCCTCCTTGAACATCACAGAATCCATACTGGGGAGAAGCCGTACCGGTGCAGCGTGTGTGGCAAAGCCTTTAGGCGGAATTCACATCTCCTGAGACATCAGAGGGTCCATAGAGATAGAAATGTTCAGGATGCTGAGCATGGAGAGACTTGGGAGAGTCACGGGAAGAGAGAGAGCCAGGAGGGGGATGTTGAGGCTCCCGTGTCTTATAAATGTAATGAGTGTGAGAGAAGTTTCACTAGGAACAGAAGCCTTATTGAACACCAGAAAATCCACACGGGTGAGAAACCCTATGAGTGTGATGCATGTGGAAAGGGCTTCACCCGAACTTCATACCTTGTTCAACATCAGAGAAGCCACGTTGTGAAGAAAATTCTGTCCCGGTGACCCATGGCTTGGGTGCCAAAGTTGGTGCTCCTTCCTCGTTGAACTGAAGCCACCCTGGAGCCCTTGCTGACCACAGAGAGTTTGGGCTGGGGCTTCATTTGCCACAGGTTATCAGGTGGTGTCAGAGATCTGCCACACTCTGGAAGGTGACTGGAAAAACACTTGTTTGAAAAGAGGCTCTGAATTATTGTCTGGAAGAGGTAGGACCTGATACTGTTTCTTCTGACCTATTGGACTTCAGGGGCTTCCAGACTGGCTCCTCCCCCTGAGCCACCACTTTATGACATTCCTGAGTTGGTGGCTCTGATCTGATGTCTAGAATTCTGAGGTATTTCTAACTAAGGCCATCAGCATTTCTGTCTAATTCTCTAAGGCTCTAGACTCGGAGGTCAATGTAGTCCTTTTTTTTTTTTTTGTAGTCCATTTTTTGCTGAGCACATAGGATTGGCAAAATGGAGGTGAGGACTGTATACTGTGATCGAAAGAACCCAAAACTTTTTAAAAACGACACTAGGAATTCTAGTGTGAATTCCTTAAACTGTTTATTTACCTTTAAATAGTTGTGAACATGTGCCAACCATAGAATTTCATTCTTTTGTTAATGTTTCTCTGACATTTTATAAAGAATTGGTACTAACTTTAACAGAGCCTGAGTCTGTAGCAATTTTTACTTTCCTTGCATTTCATGCTTAACCATCTTCGAGGATTTTCCTGTCCAAGATTGGTACATTTTAAAGCATATTTTAATACATGGATCTGTATTTATTTTATGGATTCAGTTGTATGCATTTCATTCCGTAACACCTTTCTCCAGCTCCATGACCACACACCCTTGGTAACCTCTGAATACACCAGCAGTCAGGTGGTTTCATTGGCAGACACTAACTGTCCCATCAATATGCCAGTCTCAGTTTACCAGAACTCTCTATAGTGGTCCTTCAAAGACCATCTTCTTCTTCCAGAAGGTGGTTGGATACCTGTAATCTTTGTTATGGAAGAAGATACCATATTCTTAGCCAGACACTCAAATGTTTCTAAGGCCAGCTGACATCATTTCTTTTGCTCCTGATCCCTGAGACTAAGAGGGTGGTGGTGCTACCTGCAGAATGTGTGAGATTGCTATTTACATTAAATTCTAGACTGGGAAGAGAAATCTGAACTCTAGATTACCTGAATACCCCTTCACTAGAGAAGTAAAAGGGTGTAAGAATTTTGTCTCCCAAGTGCTAGGTGCTAGGTCTTATAATCATGCAATCTATGTTTATGTTTGTAATGTATAACAAAGGTGTGAGTAGGAGAAAAGCCTTCACTGGATATTCATGCCAAGTAAGGGAGGTCTGTTCTTCCTGTTACTGTAGACGTCTGTTATCCACACTCCAGTGGAAAGAAGTATAAACGTGATTGGTAATAATCTTAGCATTTATGATCACAGTGTACCTCATTTATGGATTTGCAACAAGATATAACTAATACCTGCATTGTAGGCTTACCACTGCACAGCAGACATTTATAATAAAGAATTGTCATAATTTGACAGGCATGATTATGTCCCCTCACCCCAAATAAAAGATATCTTGAAATCTTGACTCCCTGTTACTATAACATGACCTTACTTGAAACCAGTCTTTGCAGATGTAGTTAAGATGAGGTGCTACTCACTTAGGACCTGCCCCAATCCAATGCAACTGGTGTTCTCAGAAGAAAAACAGAAGGTACAGACAGGCAGGGCAGTGCTGTGTGGCTACCGAGGCAGAGACTGATGTGCTGCAGGTCAGCCCAAGGAGTTGCCACCAGAAGTTAGAAGCCCCCACAGGTGTCAGAGGCCCTGCCAACACCTTCATTTTGGACTTCTAGCCTCCAGAACTGCAAAACCAACAATTTGTGTTGTCTGAAACCACCCAGTTTGTGGTACTCTGTTATGGAAGACTGGGGAAAGAATACTACATATTGAAATTTATATTAAAATGCCCGTGTTGATTTAATAACACTTTTGTAGTTACAATGAATTTTACATGTTTCCTATCAGAGTATATGCTTTCTTGGCTCAGACCACTTTCTCTACATCACTGAGATGAGAAAAATCATTTAAAAATCATACTCTCAACTGAGTTATGATCGAGTTCAGTGATTTCTCAGAAATAGCCTCTTATGCATGGGAAGTGACAGGATTAGATTCCTAACTTAGAAAGATCAAGCCTCTCACAGTGTGGAGGTTGGACTGGATGAGAGGGGGACAGGAAGCAGAGAGACCAGTGACAACGCTGGTAAGTGGTGCTGGCTTGAGCTTACAGAGCCCATGAATTTGCAGAGGAGCAGAGGATGCTGTGGTTCATACTGTCCTGAGGATGAAGCCAGCACAGGTGCAAGAGTTAGTACCTAGGGAACTTTGGCTATTTGGACACCAATAGGAGAGCTCATTCTGCTAAAAAGAGACTATTTTCTAAAATCTTGATTTATTGACCCATAGAAGGTAAGCAAGGACAAAGAAGGGAAGAGGGAGGGAGAGTGAGTACCAATCACATGCTGGGCAGGAGCCGCATGCACCACCTCACTGACTCCTCACAGCCATCTGAGAGGGAGTGGTTATCCCCATCTCACAGAGGAGGAGACTAAGTGTCCAATTTTTTGCCTGAAGTCACAGCAGGTAGTTGGTGGGGCCATAAGTAGGCTCTGCACCTGTCTGGGGCTTAGTCACTCCCTAGTAAGGAAACTGTCACCCTAGACTTCATCCTGAGCCACTAAGAAGCTCTTGTCAGTTGATATCTCAGAGGAAGGGATCATGGGCAAAAGCACACCTGTGCTCTGGACCAAAGAACAGAATTTAAAACACCGGAGGAACAGGCAGGGAGTGGAAGTGGAGAAGTAGCTGTTATAGGGACCTGGTGCTGGTTGTGCTCCTGTGAAGGGCAGGGCACCCCCTCCCTCCCCACCTGCCCCGTTCCCCAGTTGCCTGCCCAAGACCCACGAGTGCTGGGCCCATGAGGAGAGGCACCAGGTGGCTAGTAGGCTCCCATTCCTGCAGCAGCTCCCATACAGGCTCGGTGTCCATCTTTCAGGGGTCTTGAGGTACTGGCTATCTCTCATGATAGTGGCCACCTCTCTTGATAGTGCCTGCCTCTTGTGATAGTTCCTGCGTCTCTCGGTACTGGCTGCTTCTCCCAGTACTGGCTGCCTCTCGCGGTAGTTCCTGCCACTCAAGATAATAGTTCCTGCCTCTCGTGATACTGGCCGCCGCTCAAGATAGTTCCTGCCTCTAACGGTACTGGCCGATTCTCCCCATACTGGCTTCCTCTCGCAATAGTGCCAACCTCTCCGGAAAGATCTTGGGCTAAGGCTAGGGCTAAGGCAAGGATCAGGGTTAAGGGTTAGGGCCAGGGTCAAGGTCAGGGTTAGGGGTAGGGTTAGGGCTAGGGGCTAGGGGCTAAGGTCAGGGTTAGGGGTTAGGGTGAGGGTTTAGGGGTTAGGGGTTAGAAGATAGGCTTAGAGGTTAGGGTTGGGGTTAGGGTTAGAGGTTTGAGGTTAGGGCTAGGGGTTAGGGATAAGGTTAGGGGTTGGGATTGGGGTTGGGGTTAGGGGTTAGGGTTTTATGGTTAGAGTTAGGGCTAGGGTTAGGGCTACTGCTAGGTTTAGGTTTAGAGGTAGGAATAGGGCTAGGTCTAGGTATTTGGTGTAGGGCTAGGATTAGGGTTAGTTCTACTGCTAGGGTTAGGGGTAGGGCTAAGGCTAGGGCTTTGGACTAGGGTTAGTGTTAGAGTTAGGGCTAGGGTTAGGGTTAGGGTTATGGTTAGGGCTATGGTTAGGGTTAGGATTAGGGTTATGGTTAGGGTTATGGTTAGGGTTAGGCTTAGGGTTAGAGCTAGGGTTAGAGGTTTGGCATAGGGCTAGGGTTAGGGTCAGGGTCAGGGTGGGTCCTAGGGTTAGGGTTTTGCTTAGTGTTAGGGCTATAGCTAGGGTTAGGGCTACGGCTAGGGTCTCGCTTATGGTTAGGACTAGGGTTAGGGTTAGAGCTAGGGTTAGAGTTTCGCTTAGGGTTAGGAGTAGGGTTAGGGTTAGGATTAGTTTTAAGGTTATGACTAGAGTTAGAGCTAAGGCTAGTGTTAGGGTTAAGGCTAGGGCTAGAGTTAGGGTTTAGCTCAGGGCTAGCGATATGGCTAGGATAGGGTTGGGGCTATTGTTAGGGGTTTTGCTTAGGCTTAGGGCTAGGTTCAGGGTTAGGGTTTTGTTTAGGGTTAGGGCTAGGGCTAGGGTTAGGGTTAGGGTTAGGGCTAGTGTTAGAGGTAGGGGTAAGGATAGTGTTATGATTAGGGTTAGGGCTAGGGCTAGGGCTAGGGCTAGGGTTAGTGTTAGGGATAGGACTAGTGTTACATTTAGGGTAGGGTCAGGGCTAGGGTTAGAGTTAGGGGTAGCATTAGGTGTAGGGCTAGGGTTATGTTTTGTTTAGGGTCAGGGCTAGGTTTAGGGTTAGGGATGGGGCTACGGTTGAGGTTAATGTTATGTCTAGGGTTATGTTTAGGGTTAGTGTTATGGTTAGGGGGGTATGATTAGGTTTATGATTAGGGCTAGGGTTAGGGCTAGCATTAGGTTTAGGTTTGGGTTAGGGTTAGGGTTAGGGATCGGGTTAGGTTGTCACTTAAGTTTAGGGCTAGGGTTAGGGCTATGGGTAAGGTTAGGATTAGGTCTAGTGTTTAGGCCAGGGTTAGGGTTAGTGTTAGGGTGAAAATTTGTGCTACGTTTTGTGTTAGCGTTCTGTGGCGGGGTCAGTTAGCAGCTGAATCTTGCTGTAACAGCTGCCTATTTGGATTTGTTTTTTATGTATTAGGTAGGCCTGCTAGGACAAGTTATCCTTTTGGAGGGTCTGTAGTGCAGGCCAATGCCAGACACTGTTTGTGAGTGGCCTTGAGTACCCTGTTTGGAGGTATCAATAACCCACAGCTGGAGGTCCCCTCTGTTGGGGCTGAGTGTGTTTGGACAGGACCAAGATGCACACCTAAGTCTGCTTTTGCTAGGCCTGGGTCCAGAAGCCGATCAGGCAAAGACTCAAAGCACTCTGAGGTCTGCCTCTGCCTGCAGGCTGATAAACCTGATTCTCTTAATGAGCCTCAGGCTGTAGAAACTCCATATGGGTAGGGAGAGAGGTTTTCTTGCAGGCTGAGGCAATTGCTTCCTCCTCAGGCAAAAGCTGCTTGGAAGGTAAGTGTGTGCCTCTGCAGTCTGGGGGAATGGCTCTGCACAGGAATCCAGAGGGGTGCCTTCGGCCTAGATTCTTCCCACACAGCTACGGTCCACTCTGCCCTCCCTCTGCTGGAGNCTCCCACACAGCTGCAGTCCACTCTGCCCTCCTTCTGCTGGAGCCCAAGGTGAGTGGCTGCACACAAAACTTTGTGTGTTTGCTCTTGAAAGGGGGCCTGCATTTCCAGGCGTCTCTCCCTGGCAGATAGAAATGTGGCTGCTTTTCACAGCCAGATGTTATGTGGGCACCTGTCTCAGGTCTGGTGCTCTGGGTTGGGGAGCCCCACCAGGGGCTGAGGCCCCACAGCTGAGATCTCCCTCTGGACCTTCAGCTGCTGCCTGTGGGAGCCCAGCCAGCCCTCTCGTGCTTCCGCACTTCCTACACGTCTCTGCGATCTTCTCTTTTCTTCCTTGGTCA